CACTGCTGCCGGGTGACCCCTGGGCACCCACCCCCAGCTCACCTCTGTGTGCCCCCCAGCAAGGGCAGCATGCTGGCAGGCGATCTGCAGCCACACTGACCCATGGCCACTGCTGGCTCTCCAGTCGCCCCGGGCCACAGGCACTGGGCTGGGTGTGGCCCTGGGCAGAACCTGATGCCCCAGAAACTCACCTGCAGCTCAGGTGTAGATCCACGCCCCAACCCTCAGCCTCCACATCCTGTTGGACCTCCCCTGAGGTTTCTGGGCAGGACCTGGGCACCTCACGCTGAGGCTCTCAGGCACCTCCGGGGCCGCCCACCTAGACCCCAGGGTCCGAGACCTGCCCCTGAGCATTTAGGCAAAGGAGTGACATTCGCGAGGGGTGAGTGGAAGGAGGGGGACGAGCTGGCACAACACGGCGCTTCCCCATGGAGCCAGTCTGCACCCCACTGCCCTGCACCCTCAACCCCACCTCTGCCCGCTCTGACTGTACAGCTAAGTCCAGTCTGCCTCCATCTGGCTTCTGTGGAGGCCAGCGCGCCTGGGTGAGCCCAAGTTAGACCCCCGCCTGGGACGCACAGGGCTTGGGGTGGGCAGCAGCATCTCCAGGTTCAGCTCGGAGGCACCCACAGGCCCAGGACACCTCTCAGTCCACCTGGCAGGACGAGGCCCTGGGTGCTGCTGGGGGCAGAGCCCACACGGCTTCACCAGGAGGCCCCGGGCCCAGTCAGGGGACACCCGGGTCACTCAGGCCCGTGAGGTTGCCAAGGCTGAGTCAGCCCAGCCTTGCCGGACAGGCTGTGATCCCCTGGACACGGGCAGTCAGCTGGGGGTGCTCCTGCCTGCTGCCCCCACAGCCGAGTGGCCCCCGTGCTGCAGCCCCCAGAACTTCTGGTCCTGGCTCTGGCCCAGGGCCCCCTGCTGGAGCAGGAGTCCCTCTGCTTCCGGGGTCACCCCTGGGCCAGATGCAGCCTCTGTGGGCTGCAGGAGGCCAGGGTGGGGCTGATAATCCCCGGAGCCCAGCTTTGTTGAATCCCAGACACCTCCCCACTCGCCCACGGGCCCGGCAGGCAGCTCTGCACCAGGAAGTACCGACTGTCCATTTACAGCCCGTGTGGACACGGTGACGGGCAGCGCAGGGTAACGGGTCCTGGCCACTCTGCAGCCCCCACTGCTGGCCAGGGTGGCTGCCAGAGCCCAGAGGGGGCGGCCAGGGCAAGACAAGGGTCTGTCTTGAGCTCAGTGGCGCAGCTGGGGTAGGAGAGACCCAGGGTGGACCAACCATACGGCGGGGGACAAAGGGGCACAACGGGCAGTGCAGGAGGTGCCCACTGGACAGGGCGCTGGAGTGGGGGTTGGGATGGCCTTGTCTGTACCAAAAGCACTGCACAGGCAGGGACACCCAGCCCAGGTGTGTGAGGACACGGGCAGGGACCCCAGGCCAGCCACAAGCAGCAAGCGAGCTTTTTCCCTGACAGTGGCTCAACCCAGCTGCATTTGGTCCCTTGGCCTGACCCCTCCCGGCCCCCTCACACACTCCCAGAGCCATCGGGGCCCAGGTCCCTGCCGTGAAGAGCCCATCTCAGAACCCTGGGCAACCCTCTGCCCGCGTTAGGGAGCCTTGAACGCTGGGGGTAGGGTGGGCCGTCCAGGCTGCCATCTTGGAAGTGATCCTAAGGGTCACCACTGAACCCCCGGGGCCAGTGTCCCCTGGGGTCCCTGGGGCTGGCTGGCCAGTCCAGGAGGAGCCATGGGGCCCTGGAGCCTCTGAGAGCCTGGAACCTGGCCAGCCGAGTGCTCGGACTGGGCACCAGGGAGGCCCAGAGAGGCTCTGCCGCCCCACAGACCCTCCCCCCTGACCCTGGCCCTTCTCCGCTTACCGCTGGCTCCCGCGGCTCATGGTACAAGGAGGACCGCAGTGGGCACCTGTCCACAGGCCTGCCCGCCCGCCCTCGTATTCCATGGGAGCCCCAGGGGCACCGCTCCACCTCTAAAGGAGACACGCCCTGCCTCGGCCCACCTCTCCCCGAGGCCTGCAGTCGGCCCTCAGCCCCTGCACTCAGAGGCCCAGGGCAGACCCCAAGCAGGAGGACTTGTTCTGCACTGGCCATGCCCCCGCTGTCCCCCACCAAACCTCCCCAGGGCCTGAAGAGCTGACAGTGTGTTTGGGGGTACCTGCAGGGCACTGTGGGGGAGAGCAGGGCACTGGCTCTCGGGGTGCCCAGCCCCAGGCCCCTGTCGGCCTGTGAGCCTGCTTGGAAGCCCCTGTCAGCCCGAGGGGCACACGGCTCCAGGGAGAGGGTGGGCACAGCGGCGGGCCCTCCGCAGAGCAGGGGAGCAGGACCAGACGCCTCCCTGCCAGCCCTGGACAGAGACGGGGTCAGGCGGGCCCTGCTGCCCCTCGGATCTGCTCACACTCTGGGCTGTGCTGGGCAGAGTGCCAGGATGGGGCAGTGTGGGGACAGCAAATGCTCCCTCCTGCCAGGCCTGGGGAGGACCCAGGGGTGGGGGCACCACACGTGCTGCCCCGTGCCGGCCCGCAGGCATCAGGCCCAAACTCCTCTATTCCCTCCTTATAACCAACCTTCAGCCCCGGAGAAGGACCCTTCAAGATTCCGCACGCTGCTGACTGACCGGGGAGTCCTCCCGGCGTCAGGGCTACTGGCTGAGAGATGCTGGGGAGGGTGGCCAGGGTCTTCCTGACAAGCCACACCAGGCCTCCGGTCGCGCCTGAGGGGCTCGAGGAGCAGGACAAGTACCAGGAGGCGGGAGGAAAGAGCCTCTGCGCCCCACCCCCACCCCGGGCTGCTCTATGCCTGGGGGGCCAATGCCGGATTCCCTCTGGGCCCAGCAGAAAGGCCTGAGACAGGGCAGGGGCCAGGCCTCGAGACGGACCCCATGAGCTGACCCATTCAGGAAGACCCGTGGCAGGCCCACGGTTGGGGCCAGACTGCAGCCCAGCGGGGAGGCGTTTGGCTTGCATGCGCCAACCAGGCTTGACCCCGGGCATCCTAGGTCCCCGAGCACGGCCAGGGTGGTTCCTGAGTGCAGAGCCGGGAGGAACCCGGGAGCATCACCAGGTCAGCTGACAACAAAAGCAAAAACAGTCACACCAGGAGGGCCGGACTGGTGCGAGCACATTTCATGTCTAAAACTCAGCTATCAGAAACGTGGTGAATCTCGGTTCTTTCACAGAAGAAAGCCAGCAACCTCGGGAGCTATTTTGGAAACTTCCGGTGGCTGTGGCGTCCCTCAGGGGGCTGAGCAGGGGTGGCCAGGGAAGGTGAAGCCTCTCCCCAGAGGGGCAGGGTTGGGTGTGGCCTCGGGCCCCAGGGGTCGTGGGACCCAGACCCTCCCTCTGACCCCCCATCCAGATACAGGAAGTCAATGCTGCCCACTCCTGTGTCCCGAGACTGCCCCATACGCTGCTGGACAAGCTGCCCCCTGCCACAGCGCTCAGGACGCGTCCTGCCGCCTGCTCTGGGCCCCCAAGGAGCCGAGTCCCCTGGGGCACCTGCAGGGGTTCTTACGTAACCATCACCTGGTGGCTCAGCGTTTCAGACAAAGCTCCCGAGCTTTCCCTAATCCCAACACGGCGGCCTCCACCCTCCGCACCTTCAGACTCCCCTGCCAGTAGGGGCGGGGAAGCCGTAGGCAGCCTCTGAAGGGGCTTGGAGGGTGCAGGGCTGCGGGCCCAGCAGGTCCAAAACACGTGGTTTTGGGTGCCTGTAAACAGAGAGCATCTGGACTCAGGTCACTACGCTCCAGCTCGGAGGAGCTGGAGGCGCTTCTTCTCTCCGAAGGGTTTATGCCGGATTTTCCTGCTAGTGCCAACAGGTTTTTCTGGCCGCGTGGAGACCAAGGCGCACCTGTCTGCCACACGCAGCTTTCAGCACCAGGGGCCCCGTCCACAGGACACCACCAGGGACGTTCCCAGGACACAGCAGCCGCTCTCCCAGCACCTCCACACCACTCTCACCTGCCCCGTCCGGGTTCCCAGACACCCAGGCTCCCTGCCCCACCGCGGTCTGCAGGGAGCCATGGAGGCAGCCAGCGCTGCCTGCCGTCCCCTCGCCCCTGCACTCACGCTAACACGACGGCTGAGCCACCACTCACACACCTGCACGGTGGGGACACACCAGGCACACACGCACACCTGTGTGCCGTGCGCAGGTGTGCTTGCACGTGCGCTTGTGAGCTCTGTGCATGCGTGCACCGGAGTGTGCATTTGCCTTGCTGCGAATGAGCCCTGCATGCACCTTGGGATGCAGACATGTGTGTACACCTGCGTGTGGCGTGGTACCCTGCCCGCGTGCTTGTCCTTGCCTGTGTTCTGTGCGCATGGAGTTTGTGCCCTGCACACGTGTGATGACGACGTGTGTGCCTGTCTTTGCCTGTGTGTGCATGTGCCTGCAGACGCTCAAGTGGCCCTGGCAGGGCCCCAGGAAAGAAGTCGCAGCCCCTGGGAGTCACGTCACATTCTGATTCTTTGCTGGCCCCTGCCACCCCCGGCCCAGAGAAAATGTATCGCGACTCAGCCTCTGGGTGTCACGCAGGACGTCAGCTCTGCAACACGCGTGTCCCTGGTCAGACGCTTCCCCGAGCCCTTGTGTCACCCACCAGCCACTTCGCCCGCTGGTTCAGGCCCCACCCACCTGCCTCTGCCAACAGGGCAGGCGATCTGCGGGGGGTGGGGCCGGGTCAGGAGTGGGGACCCAGTTCCCGGAGCTGTCCCTGCTGAGGTCAGACCCAGGTGGGCTCACTCAGTGCCCAGGGGCCGACCAGCCCTCGCGAGAGGCTTCTGGAGATTTTTGTCCTAGGGTCGGGAGATCCTCCCAGGACAAATGCACGCGCTGCACGTGGGTGCCCAGGTGCCATCTCCACCTGCTCCCGACCACGCCAGATGTGTCCCGAAATAGGTACGTATCATCTCTGTAATGACAAACACAAAGAGTGCTGCACGTAACTTCCATTTTTACCAGCCGTTCTTAATAGAACGAACTCCAGGCAGACCCCGCCTCCCAGGTGAGCAGGAAGGGCAGGCAGAGACACTGAAGGGGCAGGAAGTGGGGCCCCACCAGGGCCTCGCCACAGCACACGGAACTGGGTCAGAACACAAACCCAAGATGGTTCTCCCGGGCCATGCACCATGCGCAAGCCAGCTGGTGTCTGGGGAGGGAGAACACAGAGGCCCGAAGGCTGTCCTCTGCTGGGGGCGGCTGCCTGGGCCCCGAGAGCAGCTACGGCCTGGCCACCTCTGGGACCAGCTCCAGGCTGCCGAGGGGCACAGAGCCCTCCGCCCCCAGGGGGGAGGCCAAGCCCAGCCGTGCTGGGTGGCACGTCAGGCCCGGGCGGGCAGCGTCTTATAGGGGTTCAGGATGCCCTTGGGGTCCAGGAGGGCCTTGAGCTGCCGCATCAGCAGCACTGCGGTGGGTGGCTTACTGTAGCCCAGCACGTCCTTCTTCTTGAAGCCCAGCCCGTGCTCAGCGCTGACGCTGCCCCGCTGGCCAGCTGTCCACTCGTACACGTAGGGCTCCAGGGAACCCAGCAGCTCTGCGCTGAAGGCCTCGGCCGTCACGTTGAGGTGCAGGTTGCCATCCCCTGGGAGAGGGAACCCCAGGTTAGGCGGGGGGGGGGGGGGTGCCTGGTGCAGCTGTCTCTCCCCTGCCCAACACCAGGGGCAGGTGGTGCAGAGCGAGACGGAGAGCGGAGGGGTGAGGAGGGGAGGGCAGCTGCTCTCGTCAGGGGGTCCCAGCAGAGCCATCCCCCGCCCCTCCAGGTCCGCCCCGGGGGCGCAAATGCAGACCCACTTCCTCCAGGGTGGCCCCAGGGACGACCAGAGCTGCCCGCCCATAGGGTACCACCCACGTCATGCTGACAACTTGCCCAGAACACCAGCCTCACCCCCACCTAAGGGCCCCTAGGCCTGGGGCGAGTGGGCAGGGCACCCCACTCTACGGCCTACGAAAGCTGCCTGCGTGGGGCACCCCCACAGGACAGGAGCCCAGCCCCAGCAGCGCCACCTGCTGCCCTGGACAGAGGGGACCTGAGTCTCCCTCACCACTCAGGGCCACCAGGTCGCAGAAGCAGGCGGTCTCCACCAGGCTCGGGCACCTCTGGGAGAGCGCTGGCACCAAGGGGTGGCGGCCGGGCCACAGCCGGGCCAGGGAGGGACACCAGCAACACGGGGGGACAGTGTGCTCGGGGTCCCGTGTGCGTGCCTGTGTGCAGCCAGGTGTGCACGTGTGTACAGGCCATTGCGCAGGGGTGGACCCAACCCAGTTCTAGAGTGCATGTGCACACGGGTGTGTGCACGCGTGGCACGTTCACGTTTGTGTGACGGGGCAGGTGCACATGGGGGTGTTCTGTGTGCACGCGGGTGTGTGGTGAGTGTTCCTGCGTGCTGTGTGCCATGCATGTTCGTGTATGGTGTGTGGTATGTTTGTGTGTGTGTATGTGGTGAGTGTGTGTGGTGTGGGTATATGTGTATATTGCATGTGTCTGCACGCATGTGCAGGTGTGCTGTGCGTGTCTGTGTGTACATACGGTGTGTATGTGGAGCCAGAAGCTCTTACAGAAGTGGGTGAAACCCATTTCCCACGGATAGCCTGTGACCCCTTCACACCCAGGAACGGGGTACGAGTGTCAAGTAAGTGTGAGCACAATGAAAAATAGGAAACACTGACCCACCGGCATTTTCAAGCACTGGAATTAATCTGGTGAGAGCCAAACCCATGATGGAAAATAACGGGGTGAACCCAACCCAGTTCTAGGGGAGGAAGAGCTGGGACGCCCTGGAGCAGAGACCCCTGGGAGGCAGGACCTGCCTCGGGGCAGCGGGCAGCAGGACGGGCGCAGGGCAGGCCCTGAGCCGGAAGCAGTGCAGCCTTGGCAGAAACAAAGCCGCATCCCTCCATCTGGTCCAGGACAAGCCACGCCCAAGTGCCACGACAGTCTCTCACAGCGAGAGCAGGAGACGTGGACTCGCGAGGCCCCTGGAAGAGCCTCGCCTGACAACACCTTCCTGGAGAAGTCCCCAAGGAAGTGGGCCCCAGCTGGCCCTGTGCTGGCCAAGCAAAATCCACCGGGAGAGCCCTGGGTGTGGGAACTCAGACAGCTGGGTAAGGAGCACGAGTGCAGGACAGATGGCGGCCTAGCAGCCACGCCATGCAGCCAGGCAGGAGACGGGGCAGAGACCTGGGTGATGGCAGGCACAGCGCCCCACCCCTCGCGCTGTACCCCACAGACCTGAGGCACGTCCTCTCGGCCAGGAGGCTGGGCAGAGGCAGACACAGGCTGTAAGCGCACTCCCCCAAATGCCTCCGCGGCCCTCACGCCCACCATTCTGTGGCCGCAGCCCCTCAGAGGCCTCCATTGTCTGGACACCATGCCCAGGTCAGTGGCTCTGGGCTCCACCCTTCCCGGGGGCTGACACCTGCAGCCAGCCCAGCACCAGGAGGGGCGGTCCCTCCTTGGACGGGAGCCTGCAGGAAGTGGGACAGGCCGCCAGCCAGAGACAATGAGGGAGGCGTGTCACCGAGCACATGGATGGCAGCACAGGCACCAGCACAGACCAAGATGGCCACCGTCAGGAGCCAAGACACCTCCCAGACCAGGCGACCGGAGCAGACCTAGGCCAGGCCACTGTCCAGCGGCCGCTTCTCTGTGGGTGGGGCTAAGGGCAGGCCCGGTGCACCCCGCTCTGTCTGCGCCACCTGAGGGATGGCCACGCCCCCGCACCAAGTCCCCAGCACTGAGCCCACAGGGGACTCCACGTCTGGACATGCGGACAGTGTGGCCCAACCTGTGGTCAAAGAGAAGTGGTAGTGGCCACAGACACCATCTAGAACCCAGCAACCAGCTGGAGGGGCCCCGAGCAGCACCAAGGACGGGCCCAAGAGGCAGAAGAACCAATGTCCCGGCACCCCACACCCACCATTCACCTCCTGAGGTGAGGTCAGGGCTACAGGCTCAGGGGAACACTGCCTCATACATGGAAAGACCCAAGGGAGCACCGCCTCATGTATGGGACATGGCACCCAAGGCCTGCCTTCTAGGATCCAATTCCTAAAAGGTACTTGGCAGAACAGTGAGATTGTGAAATAGAAATGCTGAACAATCAACCCATGAGTGTAAGCTGCGAGGGGGGAGGGGGAACCAGCAAAAAGTTTGGCAAAGAAGGTAGGAATTTGGGTCACATGGAGTGGGAAGGGTCTGGAACCCAGAGCTGGGCTGAGGAAACCATCGCACTGATGACCCCTGAGGACCGGAGCAAGAGGCTGGACTGCAGGAGGGGACAGGCTCTCAGTGGGCCTGGGGGAAGGCACCCGAACTCCATCCCGCCCCCAGCCCGCCCCCAAGCCCCTGCCCCAGGCCTGGCCCGAACCTTGCCGAGCCCCGCAGCTCCCTGCAGACGGGCCGTGAGGGGTTGGGCAGACAGGAGCACGTACCCTGGCGGAGACTCTCCCTGCAGCTCAGCGCCACAGGCAGAATCTCTTCCTCCAAACCAGACACTTCTCCTCGGTCTCAGCACAGCCCCAAAACCAGAGCCCACACGGAGTGGTGCTGGCAGGGAACACCGGGCGCATCCTCCCTGCTGTGACAGCCATGGGGAGCTCCAAAACTTGTCCTTCCCACCTGTCCCCAGCACCCGCTCACCAGCCAGGGTGCGACCGTGCAGAGGGGCGCCCAGCCTCTGGGCTCTCCCCACCTGCCAGTCTGCCCATGACCCCCTTCTCTCTGCATGTGTGGCTTCCATGCCTGTCTTCCTGCTTGCTTTTCGTTTGTGGGGTCACACCTGGCGGTGGTGGGGCTCCCGCAGTGCTCAGGGCGACCACGTACTGGGAAGACGGACCCAAGGCTTCACACCTCCAAGGCAAGTCTCTGTGACACCTCTGTCCCCAAGCCTTCCCATAATGATGATCGGTAACTGTCAGACACGGCCAGCGGGCACAAGGCCTCGTAGACTCAGCCTGTTTGCAAGCACAGAACAGGAAACTCGGCGGATCAGAGTGCCACCAAGCCAGGGCCGGTCACCTGGCGCAGAGCCCCACCCCATTTCCTCAGGCCCCTGACCCACTGTCCAGAGGCAGAGAGAGGTGCCAGCACAGCAGGACACAGCCCACTGGGCATCCTGCCCTCAGCAAGGCGCCCAAATGAGCTGAGTGAAGCCATGCCAGTCAGCCAGGCTGACCTGGGCTGTTAACCCCCACTAATCCCTGCTGGCTAACCAATACCAACTGACATGCTAGTCTAAGACCAGAGTAAACTAATCAGGGTGAGCCCACAGTAGTTAACCATGAAAACCTCTCCTAACCCTGGCTAGTCCCGCCAGTTAACCAGGTGAGCCTATGCTCGTTAACCAGGAATAACCCTTGCTGACCCATAAGTGTACTCTGTTGGACGTGAACCCCCAAGAGTTTTAGGCTTCACTGGTGAATGGCCCCTTTTCCTCCCCTCAGAGAAGCTCACGGCTCTCAGGAGCACCCCTAGCACCTAAGTTTACCTTTAACCTTTCCTTTCTGCTTTGCCTCTCCTGGTCGCTACTAAATTCCCCAAGTCAGGCTTTGGTTACTTATAAACCCCGACCTTCTGGTAACTCTGGATTTTGTATCTGCAGTGAACTATCTGCTTTTCTCTTTCCCCTATAACCACCTCATATTTCACTACAGAACAGTGTTCTTTGCTTAAACGCAGAAATATCATGCCCCTAATATTTGGGAGTTAATAACACTGAAATATAGTTAATCCTGGGCATCGTCACAATTACTTGACTCAGGCCGCAGTCGCCAGAGCTCCTACTACAAAAAAGCTGGGTCTCACCGAGGGATCTCTGGATGGGCCCAGTCAAGCTGTCCTATACCTTGAAGCCCCTCTGTTCTTGAGGGTGCTATTCAGACCTGAATTAAACGGCCACCGACCATCAGTCCCTGGTGCCTGGCTCCATCCTTCCACCAGGAAGGCGGGTCTCGGCCAAAAAGTGCATGGTACCAAGGCCCCTCCCGACACACTTTCTTCACAGCTGGCATGCCTGGTGGGCCCCAAAGCTGTGCTCACTTGTTCTAACCACAAGGCTAACCCATTCTGCTACCAACCCATGCTATCGACCAGGGTCAACCTGTCCTAGTCCAACCTGTCCTGGCAAACCCTCGAGGGTCTGCCCAGCAGGACAGGCCCTGGTGGCTGGCTCACCCAGGTGGCCGTAGCCCACAACGTGGCGGGCACAGGAGCCAAGGCGGGCACGCAGGTCCAGGACCAGGTCGTAGAGCCGCTCCACGGGCAGGGAGAGGTCATACTTGTACACGTAGCCATCCCGGCTCAGCGCCTCCGTGATGCGTTCCCGCAGGGCCCAGAGCGCCTGGTGGGACGGCAGCAGGGTCAGGCGCAGCCCACCCACAGAGCCCTGGGGGGAGGGGGAGGGGACCCACAGAGCCCCAGGGGGACAGGCAACTGGGAGGCTGACGGGAAGTGGGGGGCCTAGGGCCGGGCAGGGTGGGGACACAGGCTCAGCCCTGTCTGGAGCCCACAGCAGCGGGGGCCCGGCCCCACCCCACGGCACAGTGCAGCGGGTCCCCCAGCAAACCTGGGTCCCTGCCGCCCCTCCCACGCTCTGGGGCCCCTCGACAAACCTGGGATCCCTCCTGCCTCTCCCCCGCCCCTCCCACGCTCTGGGCTCCCCCGGCCCCCGGGCCTTGCACTCTGCCCACAGCTCCACGTTCCCTCTCACTCCCTGGCCACGCGGACCCTCTCCCCAGACCCCTTTCCTCCACAGCAGCTCCTCCTGCCGGGCCAGCCTCCGGGTCACAGTCCAGGCTGGCCCCTGCCACTGTGGGGATCCCCACCCCCTCCGTCCCCGATGGGGCCCCCATCCTCCCCACGGGGGTGTTACCCCCCCACCCCTCCACCGAGATGAGGTCAGTCAGAATGGCCCCGAGGCCCTGGTGGTGGTGAGCACTGCCCAGGTCCTTCCTTCCTCCGGCCTCTTTCCTGGGCAGCCAGCCCTGCCCTGCCCTGCCCTGCCCGCATACCCACGGCAAGAACATTCCTGACAAGATTCTCCTAGCTCGGTGGCACCTCCTTGACGTCCTAGCACCACGGCGGTAACACCCACCCGGATCTTTCTTTCCTCGGTGGCCACGGTGCCGTCCGTCAGCAGGCCCGAGCCCAGCGCGTGCTCCAAGAAGCCGGTCAGCTTCTCCGTGTCGTGGGACGTGCTGGAGCCTGAGGTCTCCACAAGGATGTAGAATGGGCTTTCTGGAAGGAAGAGGCCAAGCAGCAGGGTCGTCTCCAGGGCTCCCCGCGGCCGAGACCCCAGGACCCCAGACTGGGCCCGCGAGACGCGATGCTCCCCGTCTGCCTCCAGAAGGCCCCCAGAGAAGCGGGACATCCAGACCGCTGGCTCTGGCGTGGCGAGCTGGCTCTGTGGGCAGTGACACACTGGACCCTGGCCCTACCTCACCCAGCCCGGTCCCCCGAAACCTACAAACACTTCCTCCAAGGACGCAGAGACGCCAGCTGTAAGAGCACCTGCGGGAGTGGAGACGCGCTTGGAGCCCCCGGCCCAGGGTTCCCACTGTCAGGGAGGGCAGGGGTGTGCTTGGACAGCAAAGCAAGGCAGAGACCAAAGCTCCCCAGACCCCCACCTGCAGCACCCCTCCCCCCCAACAGAACCGCACACAAGCCAGGCCCAGTGCCCGAATCGTGCCCTCAGCACCACGCTGGCCTCGACCCGCCTCTCCTGCAACTGTCCCGTCCCTCCTCTTCCTCACTGACACGGAGGCTGCCTCCCGCTTTGGGATCGGAGGGCAGAGAACTTGTCCCCAGATGCTGAAGCTAAACGACTGTTCCCCAGTGACTGTCAGCAGCGGCTGCCCTGGGGGGGGACAGGAGACACCGGCTGTCCCTGAACTCACAGCCCTGGAGACACAGCAGCCAGCCAGGAAGTGGCACACCAGCCCAGACCCCTGCCCGCAGGCCTTAGCCTGAGAGCTGAGCGGGAGACACCTGTCCCCACCCCGCCTGCTGCATCTCAGGGAGGCCCCGGTCAGGCCCACGCTCAGACAGTGACAGCATTTGAGAGCAATCTGGAGGGAGAAGCTCCTCGCGCAGGGCTAACTGCAGGGCCCCGCACTCACAGCCCAGCGGGGCCCGGCACGCAGTGGACGCAGCAGCAGGACGAGCGGGCCCCCTCGTGGGGTTCGACCCGCTGGGAACACACTCGCCAAGGCTCTGAGCAGGGCGAGCCCGCGGCAGGGGCCCCTGGGGCAGGGCCTGGCGGCGGAGAGCAGTTACCTTGCAGCGGGCAGGCGAGGTGGAGATGGCGGGAGACCAGCCGCATGCACTCCGCATCCATGAACTCGAAGGCCGACAGGATCTCGCCCAGCATGGCCTTGCAGGTGCTGAAAGTCTGCAGGACCTCCGCAAAGCCCGGGCAACCTGCAGGGCACACCCAGGCACACACTCACGCAGCAGGCCGGAGAGGGCCGAATAGCGCCAGCTCCCCGAGGCCCGCGGGGACGCATGTGCTGCTGGAAAACAGGGCCTGGGGGCGTCCGTGGACGGGCACCTCGAGCCTCAGAGTTGGTGGCCTCCAGCCCCTGGGTTCAAACCTCCTGAAGGACCGGGACCCCTGACCGGGCTGGGGCAGGAGGGGGACAAGTAAGTGTGCAGGCCCGAGACCCCGGGCAGGGGGTGTCTGCCAGCAAGCGCCAGGAGCCAGGCTGCAGCTGCTGCCCTCCTGGGTGAGGCCTGAGAGCAGCCCAGGAGCTCAGGGAGGAAGGGGCAGAGTGAACAAGAGGGAGGAGGGGGCTGTGGGCCTGCGTGCACTCCCGAGGGCAAGAAATGGGAGTCCTGGAAGAGGAGACGAAGCTTCTAGAAGTGACGGAACCACCTGCTAGAAGTCAAGAAGTGCAGAGACAGAAGGCGGATTCACCCCACAGAGTGCCGAAGACCCTGAAGACTGACAGTTCAGTGGGCACAGGACAGACGGGGCACCCAAGCCAGAGATGCAGACCTGTCTCAAAGCTCCAGGGAGACTGGGAACCCGTGAAAGGTAGAGCAGATGGCTGGGCGGGTGGGGAGGAGAGAGAGAGAGACAGAGAGAGGAGGGAAGAGAGATGGAGGGGGTAAAGGGAGAGGGGGGAGGGAAGGAAGGGTGGGAACGACGGGACAGGAGAAGGGAGAGAGAAAGGAGGGAAGGGAGGGGAGATGGCCAGGGACGGGGAGGGGAGAGGGCCACAGCCGAGGCGGGGAGACAGGCACAGATGGGGGAGGGGAGAGGGCCACAGCCAACACAAAGGCGAGAGGACAGGGTACCAGGGCACGGGACTGCGCAGACAGCCGGAGCCTGCGGGGACAGCCAGGAAGGGAGCGTGCAGGAGGAGACAGGCCTGACGGAGCTCCCCCGTGAGGGTGCGCTGGAGGGAGGGGACCAGCCTCCGAGGGAGGCGGGAGCGGAGGCAGAGGGCCAGCGGCACACGGGAGCTGCACGAGGCAGCGGCCCACACTGGTGTGCCCACAGCCAACCCCGGGCTGCAGGACAGAGGCAGAGCTGCCTGTCCTCCCGGAGTGCCAACGCCTCCCGCCCTCTCGCCACACGGCCCTGGGAGCTTGGGGGCACGCTGCACCCCCCCTGGGGCCCGCCTCGGCAGGCCAGAGCTGGGACCCACCGAGGAAGGCCACGTTCACAGCCTTGGGCTTGGGCGGGCAGCTGACCGACACGGCAGTGACCACCCCGAGGGTGCCCTCGGAGCCGATGAAGAGCTGCTTCAGGTCGTAGCCCGTGTTGTCCTTGCGCAGGGAGCTCAGGCAGTTCAGGACCGTGCCATCAGCCAGCACCTGCCAGCAAGGCCAGAGCCCGTCAGTGACTGTCCCCAGAGCACCCAGACGCCACCCGCAGCGGGCTGACCCACCATCTGCCTGCGCCAGCCAGGCAGGGCCACCTGGGGCACGGGGGGCTCTGCAGGGTGAGGGGAGCAGGGGGCACTGGGCAAGAGGAGAGGGACGGGGGCACTGCTGGGGGTAGGGGGGCACTGCTGGGGACCACAAGCTGGCGGTGACGGCCCTCGGCCCCTCCAAGCAGCTGTAGGAGCTTCTGTAGGCCCAGGCAAGAGGGTGACCAGCAGGCTTGCAGGACACAGAGCTGGGAGCTCTGGCTGGGCAGCGGCTAGACCAGCAGAAGGTCTGGGATAGGAAAACCGTGGGCATGGCACTTGGACCCAGCTGGTCAGGCACTGGGGTTGTGGCTGGTCAGAATCCAGCTCGTCCTCGGGTGCCAAGACACAGGTCGTGGACCTCTGCAGTGACACGGCTGCACCCAGGCGCTGAGAGGACCAGGGGCCCCTGCAGGGTGACTGGGAGGGGAGGCCCGTGCCACGTGGAGGCACGCCCCAGCCTCTCGGCAGGTGAGCACAGGACATGCAGCAGCGGCGTGCACGGGTCTCCCTCTCGCCAGGCTCGTACTGACCCGGGCAGCCGGGAGACCCACAGGACCCCGGCCACGCTCACCACTTCCAGGCCCAGCACTGTCCCCCGCAGAGAGCCGTACCGCAGAAACCGCAGGCCACCGGCGTTGGTCGCCACGTTGCCACCGATGTGGCAGCTGCCCTTGGCTCCCAAGTCCAGGGGCATGATGAAGCCACGCTCCTCCACGTAGCGGCTCAGCTCCTCCAGAACGCACCCCGCCTGGCACACCAGGGTCCCTGCCGGGAGAGCGCAGGGACGGGCATCAGGGAGTGGGCGCGGGGTGCAAAGCCCCTGGGAGAGGCCCACAGCCCCTCAAGGAGGCAGAGCCCAAAACAGACGCGTGAGGCCGTGCACACACGCATGTGCGCACCAGACCTGCACACGCATGCTGGCAGTGAGGGGAGGGAGCAGAAAATGCCCATGCAAGGCAACACGTCTCGGCTTGGCAATTCTGCCCGCAGGGGCAGAGCTAGAGGCCTTTTGGGAGTAAAGACAGTGGAGGCCAGGAGCTGCCCAGACTCCGTGCCCAGAAGGACCAGCCCAGCAACCCACTGGCCTGCTGAGCAGGACGGCCTTTGTGCCTTCTCTGAAGTGGGTCCCCATGCCGTGCCGTGGCCAGCCCAGGCCCCTCGCCTGGAGACACAGCCCACCCCCTGGTGCAGGCTCACCGGACACATCGTGGAAGCTGATGACCTGGTTCATGAGGGTGGTGGAGAGGATGATCTCGTCGAACACAGGGACGCTGCCGCCAACCATGCCCGTGTTGCCCCCCTGTGGGTTCACGGCCAGGTTCCTCCCGTGACAGTGCCTGGGACCAAGGCAGGACAGCTGAGGGGACTGTCCATACCCCGTCAGCACGGCGGGCTGGCTGCAACCCACCTCACTCTTCCTGCCCAGTCTCTCCCCACGATGGGGTCGCAAGGGGTCAAATGTGCACGGGGACAGCTCAGGCGATGAGGTGACAACCCCTGGGCACGAGGCAGCCACGGCTGCTCGTGGCGAAAACCCCATCCCCTCCCATGGTGCTGCCACCCTTCCTGCCTACAGGGCACCGCATCCCCAACCGCAGCCCGACTCGGCAAAGACCGAGCGCCACAGGGAAGGGGTCGGGCAGGTGTGGGCCCAGCCGGCAAGGGCCGGCCAGGGAACTGAGTGTACGGTCCCTGAGAGTGACGATGACATGCAAGGCCCAAGGGAGACCCCGCACGTCCCAGGCCCCCAGGAAGAGGCGCTGGGCTGTGCCTTCCAGGCCACAGGACGGCAGGAAGGACCGGGAGCACTAGTGACGAGGGAGGGGGGGAACACACTGGGAGAGCGCGGCCACGGCAGCGAAGGCCCAGAGGCGACCTCAGAGGAGAGGCTGGTCACAATTCCTGCGAGGTCAGTGCGCCTCCGGGCGGGGGCTCCCTCCCGAGGCGTGGGGGCTCTTCAGCATTCCCACGCGAGGGCCGGCACCCGAGCCCTGCCTGGCCCCGGCAGTGCTCCCTGTGGGAGCGGGAGCAGGTTACCTGAGGATGCGAGAGACCTCCTCCGTGGAGCGGGGCTTCAGCAGCACCCGGCTGCACCCTGCAGGGAAGAGCGTGAGGCCAGGCCGGGCCTCGGGGCTTGCAGAAACCGCAGGCCCCTCCAGATCGCACCCCGCGCGAGGGGCCCCCACTGGGGCATGGGGAGGCCGGCCTGGAGGCGGGTGGGGAGGGTGTCCTGCCCTCAGAACACTGTCTGCCCAGGAATGTTCACTGGCTACGTGGTGGGTCTCGCCTGGCCCTGTTGCCACGGCAGAGCACGGCAGCTCACGGGCCGGGGTCCCAGGCAGCAGTGGGGCCCCTCTGGCTGCCGGGCCACCAGGGCCTGGCTGGCTCCAGTGGCGGCTTCCCTGCCGTGCCCCCCGTAGTCCTCCCCTGAGAACGCCAGCACGGCCCGGCCAGCTCTGCACGCTGCTCCCCGTGGGCACAGTGGCCAGTGCCCACTCACCTCGGACCGATCTCAGCCAGTCCACATTCGAAGCCTCCAGCTGCTCGGGGTCCGTGACCACACGGCCCGGGATAATGTGCTCGAAGGTGGCCAGGTCATCAGCGGTCAGGGTGGAGAAGGGCAGCCGCTGGACCGGGTAGCGCTCCTGGGTCAGGGCCACCTCGGGGGCAGGCGGCGAGGAGCTAGCTCTGCGCTCCAGGACCCGGGGGCGCTCAGCACCCCCAGGGCTGGCCAGCAGGAGAGCTCTGGGCACTCCTGCCCACTGCCGGAGGAACTGCCCAGTCCACCTGCGCGCCACGTGGGGCACCATCGCTCTGGCCTGTAAAGCAACCAGAGCGGCTTCAGAGACCCCTTGGCAGTGACCTTCGGCAAAAGCCACGAAACCACACCGGGAACAGAGGGCATCCTGCCTGGCCCGTCAGGTCGAGGAGAGACCGGGCAGCAGGGGCTCCTGGACGCCACCAGGACCCAGCCCTGCTCCTGCCAACGCCCGGCAGCGCTCAGAGCCTGGAGGGTGCGAAACTGGCCCATACGCTGGCTCTGCAGAGCTCCCGCCGGGGCAGCCGAGCGTCCAGGTGCAGAGGCTCGATTCCTTCTTCTACGGGCTCTGTCCTCTGGACTTTTCCCCAGGTAGAACTCGGCTCCAGAGCCAGAAAGAGTGCGGCAGGGAGGGGCACAGGTTTGCTCCAGACACTCTGCACGTCCCCAGAAGCCCCAGGGGCCGGCCCCCAGGCACGAGCACTGTCCTCTGCCTCGCCCCCGCCGGCCCCCAGGCACGAGCACTGTCCTCTGCCGGCCGGTGCGGGACGAGCATGATCTGCCCTCGGCCCAGCTCCGCGGTGCCCACGAGGCCGGGGTGGCCAGCTGCGGAGGCGGCTCCCACCGCCCGCTACCCCTAAGCCCCCAGGCGCCCCTCTGCGCCTGGCACGCCCAGGGAGGCCGGGGAGGTGCCCGCAGGGGTCAGCAACAGCGCTGGGCAGGGCGGAGGGCAGGGGACAGGCGTCCCGGGCCGCGCGGAGCGGCCACCTCCCGGCTAGGCCGCGCGGCCCCGCGCAGGGCAGAGCCAGGCTCGGGGGGACAGGGACGGAGGCGCGCTGAGGCCCGCGGGCCGGACAGCCGGCGGGGGACAGACCGGGGACGCGCCCCGGGACGCGCCCGCCCCCCTGGCCGCTGCACTCACGTCCGCCACCGCCGCCGGACACGCGCCGCCCAGTGGGCGGGCCCAGGGCCGAGCGTGCGCGCTGCCCCGGCCACGCCCCGCGCCGCCCCGGCCACGCCCCGCGCCGCCGGCCACGCCCACGCCGCCCCGGCCACGCCCCGCACCGCCGGCCACGCCCACGCCGCCCAGGCCACGCCCACGCCGCCCCGGCCACGCCCCTCGTTCCCGGCTCGCCCTCCCGCGAGGCCGGCCCGCCAGCTCGGGACCCCCAGGGACCCCGGGCGCGCGCCTCTCCAGGCCGAGGCTGGCCCTGGGCGGTGTTTCTCCCGGGCCCTCCCCGGGGTCCTGGCGGGCCGCGCCCAGGTGCCGGGAGCCCCCCGGGAGCCCGCGGACCCGGCCCCGCGCCCAGTCCCCGGGCTGCCCCGAGCCCGCTCCAGGGCGGGGGTCTCTGCAGCAGAGCGCCCGAGGGGACCCGGGGACAGGGCTTCCTCCCCGGCCCGGCTGTCCTGCCCCTCCGGGTGCCCACAGCTCCTGCAGCTGCTGCTGGCAGACCCCTGAGCCCAACTCCAGGGGGAGTCCCGACCCCTGCCCCGGTGCAGTCCCACGGCTGACCAGCCTTAGTTCTAGTGCTCAGAAACGAGGGCAGCACACGGGGACAAAAGCACCCTGGGATAAAGGCACCCAGAGACAGAGAGAGACAGAGATAGAGACACAGAGACCGAGACACAGACGGGTGCAGGGCCAACTGACAGACCCCTGCCCACGGCTGCTCTTGGAACAGGACACCACGCGCAAATGACAGCCCACCTTGTCCGAAGCAAAGCTGGCCTCCTGGTCCCCTGCATGCCCCCAACTGGAGGTGGGGAAGGTATCACTTGTCACACAGTCCTGCTGTGCTGGAGGGTCCCAGGTTTCCTCCAAACCTCCCCACGCCTCACAGCCCGGGCGGGCCACCCAGAAGCTACAGCACTCCCAGAATGATCTACTCGGGGTTTGTGCCAAAAAATACTTTATTTATTAAACAATATATCCATCATCTATAACATGATCAAAAAATACAGATATACATCTCTTACATTAATCATTAAAAAGATTTACAATATCATCTTTCCTTTACAAAGGGAACACAGTAATTCCTTGGAAATAAGATGTGACATTCATGTTAAAGCTGCATCATCGTTTTGGATGAAATGTGTAAAGGGCCACACCACATGACAGGAACGTGGGAGAGAAGCACGCAGTCGGACCCCTGGGGGGTCGCTCCCCGGGGCCGCTTCAGGGGAAGACCACCAGGCTCTCCCACCGAGCACGCAGGAGACCCCGCGAAGCCCAGCGTCAGGCGCCTGCCAGGGCCGCTCAGCCCCACCTGCTCACTGCGACTCCCACAAGCAGCAGACTCGGGCGGCTTCGCTCGGCCTCAGCAGCACGGCACTGGGCCCCCTGGTCACAGGCCTCAGGCAGGGCAGTAGAGGAGAGCGGGCACGACCCAGAACCAGGGGCGACATGCGGGCTGCTGCCTCACGAGACCAGGCGTCTCGGCCCTGCGGAGGCCTCGACCGCCCTCACTCAGCTGGGCCCAGTCTGGGGTGTGCTGGCACCACCCGCGATGGCTCAGGGCTCTGTCCCAGGACAGGCCTCAGGGGTCTTCCGGCATGGACAAGCAGGTGGCGCTCCCCTGGACGCAATGTCCTTCCCGCAGGAAAAGCCTCAGCAGGGAGTGTCTCTGTGCACCCTCCACCCTCCCCCGTCACCCGCAGGGAGTGTCCCTATGTGCCCACGTCTACCCGTCCCCCCACCCCGTCACCCGCAGGGAGCATCCCCATGCACCCGTCTGTCCATCCCACCCTGTCACCTGCAGGGAGGGACCCGTGTGTCCGTCTCTGCCCGCCCCACTGCACCCCCATGCACCAATCTCTTCCCATCCCCACCACCACCCCCAGACACCTTCAGGGAGGGTCCCTGCGTGTGGTCTCAGCCTGTCCCCCCACCCCCATCCCCTCCCCCAGCATTCGGGGGCATCACTGACCAATAAAGTAGAGGCTACAAATGCAAGCACAAAACAGACAGGCTAGGGCAGGGGTGGGGTCCCAGTGATGACCGGGTCACGCAGCGGCACCCTCCTCACCAAGCAGGTGCCAGGGCACTGCCACGCACCTGCTCAGGAACAGACCAGCAAGCTACTTAGTCCTCCCGAGGGGCGCAGTGCCCAGTCTGCCCGACAGCCTTCAGTGCCCGTCTCCACCAGGCCCGAGACGGGGGAGCTGCACTCACGCTTCCCGGCAGCCTGTGCCCACCCACTGTGTCGCCCGTGGCAGCGCACAGCTGGGCGACAGACCCCACCTTCTGCCCTGCTTGACACCCTCGCCGTGGACGCTGGCGCAGAGGAGACGCAGGTCCCAAGAGGTTGGACGCGACTTGCCAGAGGCCCTCAGCCGAGACTTGTTCGGCCGACTCTCCCTCGGGCCGTGCAGCGAGGGTGGGCAGGCAACCCCGTCCTCTGGGAGCCATTGGGTGCAGGAGGTTTGGGGGTTTCCGAGGTTGGGGGTTTCCGAGGTGTCTCTCACAGCCCCCCAGGCGAGCACCAGAGGTCGACATCGGCGTACTGGTGGCCGAGGTCATGAAACGCGTCCTGGTCTCTCGCCCCGTCCCAGGACAAGCTCCCCAAGCCTGTCCTGTGGGGAGGTCCATGTGCAGCCCGGCCTCAAGGCTGCAGGACGGCGCTCGAGGCAGAGTGGCCAGCCCTCGGGGGGCGTGTCCAGGCGGCTCCCCGGCGGCAGAGCAGAGCAGCCGCAGTGCCGACACCACACTCACGGGCAGGTGGGGGTCTGGGTAGCACCAAGACCCTCAGGCTCCTGCAAAGGGACGGCAGCGAGCCAGGCTAGAGGTCGGGGCCCCAGGGGACCCGGGATAGCTCTGCAGTGTAGACAGGGGTCAGGTGGACTCTGTTTGTCCTGGGAAATTTCCAGAATTACAACTGGCCATTGAATTACTAAGTATCATCTGAAACAAGGTAGTTTAAAATGAAGATGAAGTATTGCAACATGAAGGAAAATGTTAACTTGCTCTTTGCCACTCAGCCTCCTCCTCACTTCTTCTTCCTCCTTTCCTGAACACACCTCGGGCAGAACCTGCAACAGAAAGCAGGGCTCAGCCACCCGCACCCCCCAGATTCTCCCAGCTTGTCTCCCGGGACCCGACGAGATGGGGAGGCTGTGCTACAGCAAGCACTTCTGCAGCCTGTCTCCGGGCCCGGGTGCGAGTCCCCGGCATCAGCAGAGCCAGAGCCGTCCCAACAGCCACAGTCTCCCCGTGACAACAGCGTCATGAAATTCTGGGACCCGGCAGTGTGGCGTGTGCGGGTGACTCCGGGGACCCAGCGCATGGGCGTGTGGGGGCCCTGGGGACCCCTGTGTGTGAGGAAGACCCCTGGGCCTGGCACAGGGGGTGTGTGCAGGAGACCTTGGTCCTGCGTGTGCTGAGGAGCTGGGCCTGACCTGGGCCAATGCTTCAAGAGCAAGAGGCAAGGAACTGCCATGACCGCGGAGCTCAGGGCACTGAGAGGCTTAGGACATCCCTGGCTCGACTCATCCTGAGGGCAGAAGCCGGCCCACACTCCCCACCACCACTCCCCCACCCCAACCCCCAAACTCGGCCCTTCCCAGAGACCTGTGTTCTGGGGCCCTGATGGGGCTCTCTGCATGGGTCCCCCAGCTAGGGGTCCTGCCCCTCTGCACAGCCCCTCACCCCAAAGCCTGCTGCTGGCCTCGGCCCAGGCTGTCCACTTCTGACCCTGCTCCCCAAGGAGGAGGGCGCTCCGGGTCAGCCTCGGGCACACGCCAAGAGCTGCCATGCCATCCCCAACCCCGTCAGGATACAGAGGAGATACAAGTTTCCCCGGAGGTGGTAGCCTGGCCAGCACAGGAGCCAGCCAAGCCGCCTACACTGACCATTTTCCTTTGGGCTTCGTGGTCAGGTCCACACAGGCAAAGTGAAACCACTCGATCGGGCACTGCAAAGCAAGGGAGAGTCGCTCAGCACCGGGCCTGTGTCCACCCCAGCTGTCCCGGGCCGTGTCCCCCAAGGTGTCCCCTAGCCGGCATCTGCCCCGACACTCACATCTGGGTTGTCACAGCCAATCATCTCCCCGTAGGACACCTGGTGGCACAGGCAGTAGGTGGGCTCGTTGGG